GCATTTGTCTAATAAACGTTATTTTATGAGATAATGTCTATAATGTGTTTCGATAATTTCATTGGAAAGTCAATTGAATATAAAGAAATCATATTTAGGAGATCCACCAATTGATGGACCAAACAATCATTTTATTGCTTGAAATACACTAAATAACTACAGATATAATAGTTTAATAATCAAAACGCAGCCTCAGTTCGGGCACCGAGTGTTGGATCCATAGAGTCTTACGTATGGTTTGATGTGTAATATAAAAATACATTTGAATTATGGACTAAAAATGGTTTACAATACAATTTAATAGGAAATAACAATTTAAAGCAATCATCCGATTAGTAAAATACTATAAGAAATATCACTATTTTCTCGCCGCAAATGCAGTCAATTACTAAACAAAACTGAATAAACTTTTTTACTGAATACTCTCTAATTATGAGTTTAAAACTTTTAACACCGGGTTTCTGGGCAATGGCTTCAAAGCTTAAATTTAATTTTACGATTTGAGATAATGCCTATGTGTGTGTGTGTGTGTGTGTGTGTGTGTGTGTGTGAGAGAGAGAGAGAGAGAGAGAGAGAGAGAGAGTGAATGAAAAAATGGTAATGAAATAAAGGTGTGAATCGGACGTCTAATTTAGCGAAAAGTAATTGCTATCAAATTCAAAGGCAAAAGCTTTAATTGAATCAAAGTCATCGTATAATTTGTTACCCACAACATCACAATACAAATGAAATTGAAGTAATTGTTTTAAAGTATTTTTTATTTTGTGTTATTTTTCCATTTCTTAAGATTTCTCTCTTATTCACTAATTTTATAATTTAAAGTTTGTTTCAAAAGTTCTTTAGATGTGAACTCTTATCAGAAAAAATCAATTGACAAAAAATATATAATTTATAAAAATACAGTGTCTATAGTTATATCGCATATACTATATATATAGCTAAAACACTGTATGTATAAATTAAATTGTATGGCAAACATTATGTGTGTAATTTTGTTAAGCAGTGCATTCAAGCAATAATTGTTAATTATCTTTGATGTCTACAAAACATTTTATGAAACAAATAATTAAACGCAAAGCGAATAATTGTTATTCAGTGCTAAATAGTAATTGCATACGAATTGCCATTTGATATACAATATAAGTTATACTATGTTTTAAAGATATATAAATTATAATCGTTATGATGAAAAACAACAATAAAATTGTACAAATTATATAGTATATTATATGTAACTATTGTGTATATAAAATATCTATTTTAATTTCTACATAATTAGTAAAATTAAAATTATTTTTAATAGTTATTAAAAGGATAGCACATAAAATAGTAACTCATTTTTTGTGCTATTTTTTCAGTAAAATATTGTTTCCATATTATTAAGTTATATATGAATATTGTAATGCTTTAGTTATAAAAAATATATAACAATTAACATAAAACTCAAATGAATATGTCTAAACATGTAAAACATTAAAAAGTAATTTTTGCTAAAATATTTCAAACATAAAAATAAAGCAGTTAATTGATTAATTTTGCATTATTATTGTTTTTAAAACAAACTTACATATAATTCAATATACCATATATTTTAATAGTATAAATGAATATGTAAATATATAGTATAGTATCTGTAACAATATAATAAAAAAATATTTTATTTATTGTAAATTAATCAAAATATTTTAATTATTTCACTATTAGTATACAAAAATATTTACTTTTAATGCAAATTTTGTTAATTGTATTGATGAACTTTTAAAGCATTTATCTAATTAACTTAAAGATACCGTGTAGTCATCAAATAATTATACCTATTTAAAATGTATTATTAATATTCATATGTCAATTATTTTAAAAATTAAAAATTTATTGTACAATTCGAGAGTAATTATTTAAAAATAACCAAAAATATAGTTATTACATAACAAATATGACATATACTTCAAACAATAATAATAACAATAAAAAACTTCATTATTTTTGTTATTTTCAAATATATAAATTATGACAAAATTATAAATGTAATTAAAAATACAGATAATGTAATTAAGTATTGAATTCATTGTTATTTTACRTTATCAATAAATCTTTCTATTCTTTATGTTAAATGAGTTAAATTAATATTACTTTATTGTTAGTGTGCTTTAAAAGTTAGATGTGAGATATGTATAATAATGTTATTATAATTAAAAAATAAATGTAATATTAGTTAATAAGTTTGAAAACTCAGAAAACCATATGAATTTATTATTGCTGTTATTAAATACTGTATAATAATAATAATAAATGCAATGAACAAAGAAATTAATTGTTATTACATTATATAATAAATAACACAAAATATGATAATAAAGGAAACGACTAATATTATACTTACTATTAGCCACAAAGTGATTAAATTTTTGAAAATTTGTCTTTTATTACATAATTTTATGAATGAAGAAACCAACCATTGCTTGAGTTACCGGTTATAGTAATAGACAAACAATTTTAATACTATTTTAGGGCGCGTTGTCCTCAAACTAACTAATTTACAAAATTAATAATATATTTATATTATATGTGTTTTATGAATACAATTCTTATTTAATGATATTATGAATTACTTCAATGTCATTATTTCAATATTATGATTAACTTAATACAGTATATACTTTAATAGCTGATAGCATTAAATCTTACATTTATAAGCAAATAATATAAAAGTTGAATCAAGAATACAATTAATGAAGCAATTATTTAATAATTATTTATTCAAAAGTTTTAATAAATAAAATATTAAACAAAGTAAATATAAAAGTACATTAAATCTATATTTATTTGTTTTTAAATGGAGTAAAATTTAATTTTATCATTAAATTTCTGAATGTTATAAATTTATATTATCACTCAATTTTGATATATTTTGATTCAATACATTTCTATTAAAATATTTCTAAATATCAAATCGATTATAACTAAATTATTTATTTACAGAAACATTAGTTTAACTATATAATATTTCTATTATTTCTCATACATTATTATAGTTGTATCATTAAACAGGTATATATATATTTACAGTATATTACAGCAGTTTATTGATCACAAGTCATGAATGTATGTGTTAGTGAATAAATAAAAATAATATGTAATTCATATAATAGTCATTATTTTTTACTTGAAAAAGATTTTTTCACTCAAGTTGTTTGCAATATTATGTGAACTTAAATGAAACTGCAATTTGATTGTTAAGTGCCTCAAGAAATTGTCTCCAAAATTATTATCTCGTGTTGGGTCTGATGTTTGGCATGCGTTCAGACACAACACTCATGTCTTGAAAAGTAATTTTCTTCAATCAATGAATYCTCGACTCTAACACATATTTTTCCAAATGATGCCCTATTAGGTCCATAGACAACGAWTCATATTAAATAAGTGAACTACCAATTGAAACAAACATCAAGTCAACCAATATTACTGAGACATTAAATTATAGTAAATTGTAGACCAAATGCCAAACCAACGCTAAGTTTATGTGCGATTAAATATAGTCTCTCTTTATCTCGTTTACTCATTCATTCACTCAATATCTATGCTTTTGCAAACATAAACCAGCAAAACATGTTATTTATCACAACACATACAATATAAAGTATATACTATAATATATATATACACACTATAAGAAAATTGGCAAAAAACCACTTTTGCGTCCAAAATTGACTGCTCTCTACTAATCAGTTACTTTCTCTTACCTGAAAGTAATTTTTATACCTTATATATCATTTGTAATACTAAATTATGCTATATATTGTGTGACATCAATGTTAGCTAAATACAGTATATGATATTAGCTATAAAGTAGTATCTTTATATTGAATACCATAAAAACAAATACAAAAACAAACTCTTATAAAATTGAAAATATTAAACTCATACAATAGTAATAATATGTTGCTAACAAAGTGTCACCATTTTAATGACATTTTTTATTATTTGTAAATTTAAGACATTTTTAAAACAAATATAACTTTTCATTTGCAATAGTTAAAATAATTTTATATTTAAACTATTATATACTATTTAATTATCAAATGTGGAGTAAAAAAATTATATTAAATCGAAAGAAATGCTATATATATATATACTCTTTGAATTAATTTATATATTTCTTTATTTCAAAAAATAATTTAATAWAATTAAAATYAAATATGAATGATATTATTAAACACAATTTCAAATGTAAATTTTTGATGTTTAGTTTTTTCATTTATTTTGAAATCTATTTAAATAATATTAATAAAAAAACAATATTTTTTTATTTAGCATAAACACAGCAATTTTTGTCAAATTTTTATATATATATTACAAAAAACATTATCTTTGAGTAACATAATAATTAAAATCAATATAATTTATGAGTATTACTTATTACTAATTATTACTTTAGGCATTTTTATATATTGTAAAAATGAAAAATAATTATATAATAAATATAAAATTATTTTTTAATTAAATAAATGAAAATCTAAATAATGTATATAAAAATATAAAAAACATAAGTTTACAGTCAATTTAATAAATACTAATTAATAATAATAAATTTAATAGTATATCCATTAACACTTTTCAATAATTATAATTAATAATAATAATAACTTAATGATAAATAAGTACAGTATATGTATTTTGATTGCCTTAATACTAATAACATTGTAAATTATGGACGGATCAGTACGATCACAGAAAAGTGTCAAATATGTGTTCAATATGTAGAATAGTTTGCAATTATATAATAAATATAAACAACTTAAAGGCCTATTTGATGGTTTGATTCATTAATTATAAATACAARTATATATATATTTAATTGAGATTATCAATGATTGCTTAAATAATTATACAAATATCATATTAATCACAGAATAAAACAGTATAATAATGAAAACAAAGTGAAAAATGTAATAATAAATGAATTGTTTATAGGTTTGGTTTTGAATGAAACTTTGATAGTCTTATGGATCGGTGGTGTTGTTTACGGGTGATTCACAACTACTGCAACTATTATTATCTTTACTCCTCATGACTGCAATTTCATGTTCGCGAGCTTTAAGTCTGAGTGCGGCTATACTAGTGTTTCGGAGGTCAAAGGGCGCGGCACCCGATTTGTCGCTATTAGCAGGACTTGACACTCGCAATGGAGGCGATGATTGTCTATCAATGCAATTCTGCTGATTAGTCATCATATGAGGTGATGGTCTCAGTGCTGACGATTCATCTCCAACTTTAGGTCTATTATGTGATGAGGATAGGGATGCCAGAAGACTTTGGAAAGAATTGGATGCATTGGCGTAGGGAGAGAGGAATGGATTACCAAATGGTGATATGGTTTGCGCTGAAGGATTGGACAAATTGTTTGGGAATAACTGTGGATAAGCGGCACTCAACTCACGAAAGGGAAAGGCGGCCGCATTGGCGAAGTTGAATGAATTGGCGCTAAACATTGCCGGAGTATTTAAGTAACCGCTAGATTTTAGACTCGGGTGGTCTAACATTGGCTTTCGATATGCTGCTGCGGCTAATGCAGCGTGTGGTCCAAACAAAGCACCGGGATTTGTGGCCACTGCTGATAATGCAGCGGCTGACGCTGAACTGTGATGTCCAGCACCTGAATTATGTATAGCAGACATGTTGTTCCCCATTACTTGTGTGGGTAAAACAGTGGCACTCGTAGGTGTCCCCGTGCCATATGGATTGTAACCGTGTGAAGAGCTTCCATTACCAGCACCGGTAGATTTTTCTTGTTTTCGCCACTTTGCCCTACGGTTCTGAAACCATACCTTTAAATATAAGAGTAATAAAATAAAATTTTAAGTTAACTAATTGAAAAAGTATATAATATTTTAGAAATAATTAAATAATATTTACTTGAACTCTCGCTTCTGTTAAGTCAACTCTCATCGCCAGTTCCTCTCTATTAAAAAAATATAAGATTTTTAGTAAAATATACCAATTTATATTTGAAATTTATATTACAAATTAAAATTTATATATTTTTATAAAATATTTAAAAACAAATTATTTATTTTACAGATAGTCTCAAAAAAATACAATATGTTTGTACCTTTTAAGGCCATAATTTCAGTGTAATAGTAATTTAAGTTTATGTTCATAATATAGAGTAGACTTATAGCTAGTAGTAGTCCTATAGGGACTTCAGTGTTATAACTTATGGTTCATTAAACATAACGAATAATGAAAATAATTTTATGTTATCTATGATTATCTTTTAATTTAAAATCTAATACATTATAAATTGACAAAATTAATTTATACTAATTAATACTTTTAATTGTCTAAAAATTAAAAAATTAAAAATTCTTAGTTGTTTAAATGCTCATGTTTAATAATCAATTTATATAAAATATTATATTTTTTATAAAGAAAAAATTAAAAATATTTTAAAAATAGATTTGCTGAGAATGTATCAAAAACTTAGGAGATAGAGAGAGAGAGAGAGAGAGAGAGAGAGAGAGAGAGAGAAAGAGAGAGAGAGAGAGAGAGAGAGAGAGAGAGAAAGAGAGAGAGAGAGAGAGAGAGAGAGAGAGAGAGAGAGAGAGAGGAAAAGCAAATTAACTGAATGACCAGTACTGTATCGACATAGGCCTTGAAGGCATATACTGTATCCCATTCTAAATCTAATAATGGTTAGAAGGGAGGCATAAGAACAGCAGTAAGCGCACAGGTAGGCGCACAGGTAGGTTATAATGATAAAGTTAATTAGAAGACATGGAAAACTTGGGCGGAAGGGAATTGGCTTTAAATTTAAAGTTAATTAAAGTGAATACTACTTTGTAAGTCACTTGGATATCAACAATAAGAGTCAGTCAGTTGATAGAGAAATACTCGTATATAGTCTACAGTCAACTACAACACAAACACATTTAGCTGTCTGTGCCACACACCCCACCTCACAATCAATATATCTTACAGTGATTTCTCTCATCACTCAATGGGTCGCCCAATATATTCAAATTTAAAACATTTTAAACTAAACATTGTTTTTTGTGGGTATTATTTATATATAACTTAGTTTGTATCAACAAAATTAGCATTTTGTTTGAGACCCTCAACGAAGCTCTTATTTTTAGTTGATTTATTGATTTTCATTTGCCCTCTCATTTAATTCACATTTATATTATAACTTAAATTGAATTAGTTGTAGTAGTAATAAATTTGTATCATTTTTCTATGTATTGTGACGATAGTGACAAAGATACTTCATTTCAACAAATTAATGTAAACAAATAATTTGATTTTTTATTTCATTTTATAAATAAATATTATTATTTAACTATTATATAGCTTTCAATTTTAACATCTTAGATAATTATAAATTGTAATTTAATAATATTTTATAAATAAACATAAAAATAATTATTTAAAATTTAATTGAGTTGTGTTCRTGTATTAATTAATGCAATCCATTGACAATTGTATAGCATTTTCACATAAATATAGATATCTACAGTATTTACAAGTTTAATAAAATAAAATAAATTTAAAATTACTTCAATTATTAAAAATTTAGTTTAAATGTTTAGAATATAAAAAATCATTTTAATGAATAAATGGTAGTTTTTGGTAAAAGTTTTGGCATATTTATGTATAAAAATTAGAAATAATAAAAATTTATATATTTAATATATTTTTATATTTACTGCATAAACAAAAATCTAATTTTGTTTTTAATTAATTTTGGATTTCAGTGTCTTAAGCTTACGGTTATATGTATTATAAGTATAATATTAAAGTATATTTGTATAATCTTTTTTAAATGGTGTGTCATATATAATACCAGATCATTGAAGTGCTTTAATTTACAATGACGTGATCACAGACACGCAAATTGAATACATATTCAATGTATTGGACATCATATATACACATAACTCATAATGTATTACATAATAATACACAAATAGTCTCAAAATATGCCTTATGTTATACAAATTATGATTAAAATTTGTTTCAATCGCTGTATTATTTCAATATTTTTAATAGAAAATCAAAAATAAGAGATTATTATTATTATTATTATTATTACATATAAATAGTAATAAAATAAAAAATGTTATTAAAGTGTTTCTCTTTTAAAAACKAATCTTATGTTCTCTTATTAAATCTATTAATAAAATAARGTTTTATATAATATTTGGATGGATTGACAAAACAACGTTTAATTTTCAAACCGGACGCTCAAAGACTATAAATATAAAAGAGTATAATTGTTAACTAAACTTAATTTCCGCTCATTTACTGATTATAAATCATAAATAAAATATATGAAACTACAATATATATTGTTTATAYTGTATATACATTTATAATAACATTTATTAATTTATGTAATATARTAGTCTCTAATTTTTCAGTAATAATAAAAAAATTATTAATTAAATATGACATTTATTAATATTATTTTATTTATATTTAATTGTTATTATTTGTTGCAACAACTAAATTATTTATTTACATTAGTTATTACTAGTATAATAAAGTATTGATTCAATATTAATTTTAATACACGGAAAACTTAATCCATTTAATAAAATTAATAACAAAATAATATTAACAAAGTATACAGTATTACATTATGATTTGAATAAATGTTTAGTATTATAATTATTTAAACTGCTATACTATACCTCAATTTATATCTTTACAAAATTATTAATACATACTATATATTTAATTAAAACATATTAAAACATAATTTTGCTTCATTTCTTTATATCATTTGTTATCTAATATATGGTTATATATATAACTCCATTAATAATACATTATTTGTTAATATTTAAGTTGTCAGTGAATTTATGGTTTTGCCTGTGATTTATAAATGATGTATAATTTCTAAATATAAAAATTTATGTCTTAAGGCATATACTTATTTCATACTATATTAAGTGGTTTTTATCCATTAATCAATATTTTGCTTCTCATATATTAATTGACATAATCTAAAAAACACATCAATTTGTATTCATTGATTAGACATTTTATAAGATAATATTCTCTTTTCATAAAAATATTAAGCATATTATATACAAAACATTTTTGTGTAATTATATAATTACTTAATTCAGTAGATTAACAATTATTATTATTTTATATAATAAAGGTAATAAAGAAAATATATAAAGATTAAGATAAGTATTAAAATGTCACACAATTTAAATGAGTGTCTGTATATCTTTAATAATGACAGTTTAATAAATTGCACATAAATTAAGTTAAACACAAAATTAAATTTTGTTTTTTTGCTTCAAATTTAATTTAGATTTTTATGAGTATAATTGGCTTTAAATTAAAATAAAATATAGTTTTGCATTCATCACTATATAATGAAAAGTTTGTTTGTTATTACATATTTTTGTTATTATGACCTCAAAATTGTACTTATAGTTAATTAGTTATAAATTGAATTTGACGGGACAGTCATGTTTATCTTTTTAAAATGCATATACAGAACAGTATATATATAATATGTATATTATTTAATAAAGTTTCTCTCTATGCTAAACAAAAGCTACCGGCAATTTCAGTGTCAAATATATAGATTTTCTATATTAATAAATATCTCTATTTTTTGTATTTAAAATATTAGTTTTTTAACGGCAAACTTTTGCCGGCAAAAAATGTTTGAATGTAATGGGAAAGAGCTATTAAAATGACAGTTCACATCACATCTCATCTCATCTTTTGATAATTTAAGGACTGATGGCTTTGACACCAAATAATTCAATAGATTTTTTTCAGTCAAAACAAGCAATAATTTTATACTGAATATATAATCAATAGTTAATATCTTTTAACATAAATAATAAATTATGTACTGCAATGACAAACGGTTCACAAAACAAATTAATTAGTCTTTAAACGCAAATATTGTACTAAATATTTTGTACAATAAAAAACAAAATAATAACAGAAATCATTTATAAATTGAATGTCAAACTTTTAGAGAAAAAACTTAATTATTATTTAAGTGTTGATTTTGATTAATCATTTTAAAAATGGCTATAAAATCAATACAATTCATGTGCTATAGTTAGAGGCAATTATCAAATGAATGTAATATTAATACATTGTTTTGTATAACACAAAGTCTATTAAATAGATTGTATGACATTTTAGTTGAAGTATTGTTAGTAAATAATTGAATTTCTATCAAATAAAATATATTTTTTAGTCATTCTATTAATCATTATTACTGTATATTGAATAAACTAATAAACACTTGTAATATATAATTCTATGTATTTATTAATACAATATTATTAATTACTAAAATTAATTTTTATTAAAGTAGTTAATTACATATATCACTAACTGCATATAATATATTATAAAATTTTTAATAAAAACTAACAAATTAAGTTTATATAATTAAATCTTAAATTAATTTTTTAATTTAAATACTGTATAAAGCAATTACTAACTTATAATTTTATAATATTTGTAGCACTTAAATATTTTTAATGATTTAAACAGATAGACAAATATAATTGAAAGATACTGTATATAAATTAACATTAATTAAATAGATTTATTTTTTATAATTATTTTGTTTTAATTAAAGAGAAAATTTAATAAAATTTAAATTTAATTAATAAAAATTATTAACTACYATTAAATGTCGTAATAATCAATTATAAAATTTAATTTTTTAAAGTAATCTGTAAAGGATTTAAAATACAATATTATAGAAAAGACATAATTTTGAGTTAACAGATAAATAAGTAGTTAACAAATTTACAGAAACACACAGAGTATCCACAAAATACAGCTAACTGTGCAAAAATACCTGATATTATACTTATAAATAATATTATCTGAATTTTTTATATACATTTATAAATTGTAATATATATGTATAGTATGCGTACAAATCCTTGAAAAAGTGAAAACAAGAAAACAAATAATTGATTGAAACGTTTACTAAAGATTGTTATCGCAGGGCATTAATGAACACATAAAATGACAATAAAACTTTAATTGAATTTCTTACCGCATAATTAAATATAAAATAATAATTAGCATTTTTCTACATAATATTTAATACAATACCTATATTTAAATTTTAATTTTATTTAATCAGTGCAAACATTTTAATAATTTTGTGTTTATTTTTACAATATTTAATAGAAATAATTTTTTGTGGTTTGAGTCGTTCAGTGACTAAATTAATTAAAATTCTTTTGATTTTTTAAAGTAATAATACTGTAATTTATGACTGATTTTCCCATTTATGTGTTTTACTAACATTTCTCTTTTTATAATTTAGCAATTTAGATAATAATATTATTTTTTAATTTAAAATTTAATATATATGTTATTGTATATAAGCTTTTGTTTAAAATAAAAAATATGTGGGCAAACAATTAAATTTACTTAAAAATTTATATGTAATTTATAGCTATTTTATAATTAGTAACCAGATAATTTATATATAAATTGTTGCATATACTAATTTAAAAATATTACAATTTAAATTGCAAAACAAATAATTACATAAGTTAATACAAGTTATAGATAGAAACTATGAAATATAAATAATACTAATTATATATAYATTATATCTAACAAATAGTTCATAATCTCATTATTAAAGAATTTCATTTTAATAATAATTGTTACATTAATAGTTATATTATTTTTATTATTATATAAATTTTTTAATAACATTACTATTATATTTAATTTTCTAAAATAATTTATTGCTTTTGATAAATAGCAACAAAAACTTTGAGTTATTTTTGTTTCGTGAAAATCATTGAAAATTTAATGATATATTCTTTGTTTAATTTAAAAATAATGAATGATTTTTTAAATAAAATTTAAACATCTAATTAAGTCATTTGTAGTGATTTGGTTTCATTATGTTATTTATTTTTATATTTTTAATGATTAAATAAAAAGTATTTTATAWAATATAAATCAAATTCAATATACAAAAGATATATAATTTTAACAAAAATTTAATTTATAAATAAAAAACATGACAACAAATAATTTTAAATTGATTGAACTATAATTAGTTTTTATTAATTTTATATTTTTAACAAAAGAATCTTAATAAATATATTGAAATTAAATAAAATTATAATAACTTTATCAAAAACGTATTATAGAGTCATATATTGGAGTTAATGGTTCTTCTCTGAGGTAAAATTAATTATATAAATTATATTAAAATTTAATTTTTATTAAAAATTGATAACACAATTCTTATCACTTAAATATACATAATTTATTAATAGAAATAAAATAACTATTTACTAAAAAATCATTTTTCCAAAAAAAATAATTTGCGTGAAGAATATAGATTAATATAATTTTTAAGTTTTAAGTGTTTTAAAATTAAAAACAAGATTTTGTCTCTTAATTTTCTAATGCAATGTAAATACATAACAAAATATCGCTAATAAACACATATTAACGTCATTTTTAAGTAAATTAATTCTTAAAAACTAAACATAAATCAGAAAAAATACTTATAATGTGAACCTATAAAACAAATTTATAAAATTGTATCAAAACTTACAATTTTTTAATTATATTTAATACAAGATATTKAATTCAATACAATTCTATAATAACACAATTTATWTAATAAATGAGTTTTAATGAATAACATAATAAAATAAGAAAAATAAAGATAGATGATACTTTATTTTAAATTAAAAAATAAATAATACTAATTAAATATTCAAATTTCAATTAACAAATAAAATTAATATTATTAATAATACATATTTAATAAMAAAATAAATGATTATTGTTGCAAATGTTCTTCTTTAATCACATAATTAGTTTTATGCAAACATTACTAAAAATTAGATATTAAAAATTTATTGAAATATAATTATTAATATATATTCTATATTACATAATATTAAAGTATGTGCAATAGAGAAAGAGATAGATAGATAGATAGATAGAGAGAGAGAGAGAGAGAGAGAGAGAGAGAGAGAGACCAGAAATTCATTAATAGTAATATAAAAAGTATTAATTAACTGGAAATTATAGTTTTATGTGCCTTTATTAGTGTCACATTAAGGTCATAGTAAAAGTCTATTTTGGGTGTGGGTCAGTTTGTTTAATACCGTTTCTATAATAATTAAATTGTGTTAAAGTGTAAAATTGTAAAATTTGTTTAATTTAGATCTAGATTTAAGTTTTTTTTGTATAGATTAAGATTATATTATTTGTTTCTTCATAAATTTATTATATTATAATATCATACATATATATTATACTCATTATCGAAAATGACATTATAGAAAATGACCGCACTCTACAGTTTAGATATATATTATATAAACTACATAATATATTATACATAATATTGCTGTATTTAATATAATTTGCAAAATCGTTACCACATTAAATAATACTAATAAATGGCCACATAATTATTATTACAACGATATATGTAATATAAAAAAATGATTGCATTTCGTGCCAACTCATATAGCGTTTTATTTATTAATAAAAATAACTAAAACCATAATTAATATTATTCAAGAATCGCATGCAATTACCCAACAATAATATATACAGTGTTTTACAATTTGACTAAACTATATACAGTAGAGATACTATTTATAGATATACTGTACAATATATATATATATATATATATATAATTCATAGTCAACTGTAGTGAGTTTGTTAAGCACTGACAAACACGACTTCAATTGTCAGACAAATTAATGGATACTTTCATAGACATTGAATATATGTTTCGTTCGCATATCTATAGTCACACATTATATACATTTATGTTTTGTACATAAAATTAAAGCAAAAAACAAACAAATAATAGACTGATATATATATATATAWAAAATAAGACAAACCTCGTGAAGACGTCCGGATAGTGAGTCCGTGAAAAAGCTTTCTCGAGCTCTTCCAACTGAAAACTAGTAAATGTTGTCCGATATCGGCGTTGTTTGCGTTTTGGGAAGTCTTCCGGGTGATGGTCATTATCGCCGCGATGGTTATGGAGATCTATAGCTTCACCAAAAGGGCTTATTGCCGGACTCCCGGTGCCGTTGGTCACCGAAATTGGCGATGGACTGCTGCCCTGCGGTGAGGAAGGATTGGACACTGATAGTTGAGGTGACATCTGAGGCAATCGTGTCAGTGATGGAAAATTGGCCACAGAAACGGGYGGTGTGTTTGATAGCACATAACTTATTGGTGATTGTTTAGTCGATTTGTTATAATAACTATGATTATTAGTATTATTATTATTATTGAGAGTCAACTTTTGTGCGGTAAGTGGAGGACTGATGGGATGGTCGGTCACACTGTTAGCCGAATGACTCTTACTGTTACTGTTATTGTTGTTCACTATAGAGTCTATACTGAAGCCTATCATCTTATTCTCGGATGTGACGGTAGGTTCTCTCTTGACGGGTGTAATGCCCGAAGCTGTAGTACCCGATGGTGTGCCGCTATTCGAGTGGGCTGTCATGCCATATGTCACTGATTATCACCGATTAAATTGTCGGGTAATCCCTGAGTATCAGTTTATGTAGAAGTGGTTGCAGTGATCGTTGTCGGCACAGTTGTTGCCTCTGTATCTCTATCTAAGTGTAATATGCAATGCGCTGCTATGTTAGCTGCATATGCCTGTGAAACTGGTAGTCATACGTAAGCTGACTGATCCAACCCATGCTCGCACGCTATTGGATAGTCATCAATAGATATTTTGTTGTTAACAAGGTAAACTATTGTATATTATCAGTATCAGTTAGGGGTTATGACATATTTCAAAGCCAACATGTATAAACAATAATTTTATTATTAATTTTAACTAAATTTATTTATAAATTTGATAATTTTAGATTTTAATTTTAAACTTTTAATTATACAGTTTATAATATCTTTAATATTTTTTAATTATAATAGCAGTATAAAAAATAATATAAAATTGACTTAAATTTATGAACTCGTACAATTTATTATATTTCAATTATTCTACAATAATTATATTAATTGGCTAARCTCTCTCTCTCTCTCTCTCTCTCTCTCTCTCTCTCTCTCTCTCTCTCTCTCTCTCTCTCTCTCTCTCTCTCTCTCTCTCTCTCTCTCTCTCTCTCTCTCTCTCTCTCTCTCTCTCTTTTTTTCTTTGTGTGTGTGTGTAATATTAATAAATTTAATTGTACGCTTTAACAAATAATGCAAAAAAGATCAAAATTAACCAAAAACTAGCACTTTATGTATAGAATTGTTTATCAGTTATCATTAGTTTTATCTAAGTTTATATAACTTTATACACTGTGTTATATAAAATTAAGTGAATTGCATTAATAAATGTGAAATCACTATAATATTGTAATATATTATTAAGAGTAATAATCAAATGAAAATATAATCAAAACACATTGACTATATGTTATGATGCGGTACTAGTATTGTAATATTTGTTAGAGCCCGGTGCTCAATTATTATGACATCTAAAAGTCTATATCTATAGAGCTGATGATACCATAGTGTTTGTGTATAACAATCACGTGTTAGTATATGATAGATGACTTTAATCGCATTAATTCATTGCATTTGATTGCATTCATTGCATTGATTGCCCCAAAAAACACTAACAGACAATATCTCATGCGAAACATTGAAGCTTCTGGTCATTGAATATATCATTATATTGCACTCTCTTTAGACATATAGTTGTCTCAAACACATATAGATTTACACAAATTTAATACAATATTAGATATTTTTATATTTAAATCTCATTTGTTAAAAAAATTAAATTTAAAAACAAATATTTTTTCATATTAATAATTATATTTAAATTTACCAATTTATATAATTTTGTAAAAAAATATTTTTTGTATTTTTAAATATATTCGAATTATAAATGTAATCAAATTAAATAATTTACATAAATATTATTTGTATGACTTTAAAAGTCAAATTAAAATTAAATCTTGAATTTCAGCTTTTTGAAAACGCCTCAAATACTTAATTTTAATTACATTTTCAATGTTTGAATTGTATGTTTATTACTAAGGCCTACACTAAAACATGACTTTCTATATGAAATGATAAAATTATAAACAAATTATTGTTTAAATACATTCACTACACCCTCGACTTCTCATTAATTGCTGACAATTTGTGTATTAATTTCCTCTTATATTTCTTAAATAAATTATTTAATATTTATATCATTATAAGACTTTTTAATAACTGAAAAAATAAATAATAAAAATCAATTAGTAAATTATTTTTTTAAATCAGGTTTTTCATAAATTTAATAATTATAAATACTGTTTTAGTATTTTAATTGATAAATTGGATTAAGTTTTTTTTTTGGTTTAAGATTATATAATAATTATGAAATTATATGTAGTTARTATTTAATCTAAATTACTTTTAATTTTAAATTTAATTACTTTTTTTGTCCATTAATGGTAAACGAGATTCATCTTTATTTACTACTATAAAAAATCACGTCAAACATACGTGTATCCAATTATTGTTTTTTTAAACACAATAGCTAATTATATTTAAAAATGTTAACTTTGAAAAGATATAAAATAAAGAATTATTAAACAATTAATTTAAGACCAAAATAATGCCAAATTAATAATTAATTTCATAATTGAGGAAATATTAAATAACAAAATTTAGGTTATTTTAAAACTTATTATAATAAAGTAATAAAAAGTAATAAAATAATTTTATTACAACAATAATTGAAATTTGTTATAAATACAATATTTTAAAATTTATATTATAATACTAAACACTATATTCAATGATTTTGTACTTACTTTCTGTATTTAAAAAATTATATTATAAATCATATCAAATAAATCACTTAAAAGCATAATACTTATCCAAAATTGCATTAAATAATTAACTTATTAGTCTTTCAACTCATTAAAACCTCTCAATTTAATTTAAATGCAAAGTTTTATATATTATAGATATGTTTATATGAGATGTCTGAAAATTATTATAAATTAGATAAAACATCACATCTCAGGTGTTTTTAATATGTTTTAATAAAATTAAATGTAATTTTATAGTATAGACACAGTTGCTTATGTCACAACAAATTGTAGCATTTTATGACAAATTGCATATTCATATAATGTATAGTTTATTAAATTAGCAAATAAATTAATTATAAATATAAACTCTATAGAGTAATTGTTTATTGAATTAAAAATAAATGTTAAATATATATTTTTAAGTAATTTAATAATATATAATAATCAATTATACAGTATAAGCAATAATCATGTTTTTATCAAAATTGGTGTCTATAACTAAGTGTCTTAATAAATATACTATACATTAAATGATACTATACTATAAAATATACCTCATATAATTTATTTACTATACAAGTTTATACTGGTGCTTTTAAATATAAGTAAAAATGCGTCTATTTTTAGATATTGAACAAAGATAATGTAATTTACATTAAAATATTATTTAGATATGTTTTCATATTTTAGTTTAGTCTTAAATGTGTAATTTATTTGAAAATGTCAATTATGTATATTTTATATAAAGGTGTCAGAGCTCAGAGTATTTCAATTGAATTTAATTGTCACTAAAATTATATACAATAAATGAATGTACAGTACATATAGTATTGTTAAATTATATTTATATAGTATTTTAATACTTAAATTTTTGTATATAAACTTATACTCTGGTATCTGATGTCAACGATATCTAAGTAACCAAATATATAACAAATATTTAATATTAATAAATAATATATTCTAAACAAAAATATTGATAATATAGTGATAAGTATATAGTTAGACAATAATCATAACAGATTGATGTCATTCAATAAAACATAACAAATTCACTTTTAATATACTTAATAATATTTAGCATTCATTAAAACTATGAATTTACTATTTATACAAATTATTAACAATTAATTTATCAGTTGAGTTAAGTGAATGTCAACATTGAAAACTGTCTTATATTATATTGTCTTTTAATAAATAAAAATTGTTTTTTAATAAATTATATGATAAGTTGAGTTAAATATCGCAATACAATCAACAAACAAAATAATATTCAATTAAACAAATCATATATCAGTGATATATTAAAAGTAGAGAATAGGTATATCTTGTATGATAAGCGCCGCCTTAGCATTCATATGAATTGCCAGTCATATTGTCGCCTTCTTGTCCAATTAGCCACTGATTTTAGCTGCCGGTGCTGTCACGTGACGCCACCCTCGCATTTGCTATGCCTTCAAAACACAAAAGACAGGGCACCGACTCATTGAAGAGATCAAGTGCTGGTGCTTACAGACATTGCACTTACCTAATGGTTAGTTACCACACACTTGCACTCAACTCTCTATTGACTCTACAGTATTACTGCACACAAAACAACACAGTTGTTAACTTCAATAGTTAACAATTGAAATATGTTTTTCAATAAAACCAGTACTTTAAGAGCTACGGTCAGATTTTTAAGCACTAGTATATCAGCTAATTTAGCTCTCAATATGACATTTAGCTTATCATTGAACGACCAGTCAGTCCATTACAATGATAAGCCATAATTTTTTTTGTAGATTCAATGATCGGCTAACTAAACGCCTACATCGTTGGTGGCCATATATATTGGCCATTATATACCAAATGTGACAAATATAATGACTAATCTAAACAATAGCATTATTTATTAGAAATATATTCAAAATATCACAAAAATATGAATACACATTTAAATCTAACTTAAATTCAATATCAGTTTTTAAATTTCATTACAAAAATATTTTACTTTTTTACTATTATTATTCCTTAAAATTGTTCTTAAAATATTTGTAATAATAAATAAATATTTAATTGAAACGTTTGATAATTARTTAAACCTAATATCAAATAACTTAATATCAAATTAAAAACATTTCTATGCTTTTGCGATCATATTATATAAAAAGTATTTAATCATAATTAGTGTTGAGTGTGTTATTACATTTGCTAAATTACTCGAAAGATTCTATTAATAATAAATATTTTTAATTTTTCAAATGAATGTTTGTTTATTCAAGAAATTTTATTAAAAGTTTATCATGGTAAAAAATCACTAGTAATTTGTTTATAAACACAACAATATATTAATAATAATAAATTTTAATTTTGATAATAAATTAT